TTTTTTTTTTCTTAATTCTACTTACTCTTGGCAATTGTGAGTCAAGAACAAGATTGGTCTTTGAATAACAGCGCAAGGATGATTTGGTCACTGCAGTGCCGTATTTATTTGAAGCACGGCATTCATATTCGCCAGAGTTTTCTTCATAACAGTACAAAATGTCCAAAATGACAATACCAAAGTCATGGAACGTACGGAACCGATGACCATGCGGCAATTTCTTTCCATTATAATACCACTCAACAACCAAATCAGGATCGTTAATTGGTGTTAAACGTGCTTCAAAGTGAGCACTTTGACCTTCAATCAATTTTGAAATATCTTGCAATTCGGTAACGAATCGTGGTGCTTCTCCAGTTGGTGTTTGTGGTGTAGCATGTTGTGGCAAGCCCAATGCTTCCAATTCTCTGATTCTTTCCAATGATTGTGGTTGCAAGCTGTCATAGAAAACGCCACTCTTTCCGAAGCACTCAATAGATGCACGAGTGAAATCTTCACCATACTTATTCTTTGCCTAAAATGAGCATTTTTTTATTACACACAATGAAAATTCAATATATTTTTTTTTAAAATACAAAAATGTTTTTAAAATAATTATAAAGAAAATCTTTGAAAGCATTATTATAGAAATTTTATAGATTTTGTATATCTTTAAAGTTCCTTTTTAAAGTCTTCCAAAGAATTTAATAGACTTTTATAAAATTAAGAATACGAATTCTTTTTATCGCCTAAATAAAAACAAAAACAAAAGAAAAACAAACATACCTGACATACGTATTCGCCAGAATCGTGACTTTGTACATAGGCAATATCGAGCAAAACATATCCAAAATCAGACACGGGCTTGATTCTGGTTGAGTGACGAATTGGTTTTCCGTTATGATACCACTCCACTTTCAAATCTGGATCATTAACTGGAACCAATGTGCATTCAAAGTGAGCTGATTGACCATCTTTAAGTCCAGCCAAGTTTTGAATTTGAGTCGTGAATTTAGGTGGTTGTCCGGCTAAACGTTCAACACAAGTTAAGTACGTACTAATTTCGGCCGTTCCGTGCGCATTTGTTGCACGGCACGTATAAGTGCCAGAATCTTCGATTTTAGTTCCAATTATTTCCAGCACAACCATACCAAATGCGTATACAGTTTTGAAACGATGGCTTGCCTCAAGTACTTTTCCATTATAGAACCATTCTACGACCATTGATTGATCGCCGGTCGGTACAAGCAACGCGTCATAGTGGGCAATTTCACCATCAGAGATATTTGGAATCGTAACGAATTCGGTTGTGAAACGTGGTGGTTGACCACTTTCAGCTTGAACAGCTTTTGAATCTGGTTTACGCAATGACTCTTCCAAATTTTGAATTGTTTCCAAGCCTTCAGCACCTTTTGGATGTTGTGTGCTATCAATAATGCTCTCTTTGCCGGAACAAACAATTGTACTGGTTGTAAAGGCTTCTCCTTTTCTATTGCTTGCTTTGCATGTATAAATACCTTGATCGCGTTCATACACATCTACCAAATCAAGTGTTACAAAACCAAATTCGCTGTTCATCTTGAATCGAGAACCATGTTGCAACACCTTACCATTCAAGAACCATTCAATCTTCAAATTTGGATCTTCCTTCGGTTCAACTTGACCTTCCAAATGAAGAGCTTGATTTTCATTCAAACGGAACTCTGATTCTAATGGTTTGGTCCAAACTGGTGCTGGGTAATCTTTTTCTGGTTTGATTACCTCACGTTTATATCTATTGGCCAATTCTTCTTCGGTCTCTTGAACGGCTTCCAATCCGCTTTGTCCTTGTGGATGTTGTGTATCCAAGAACATTGTTTGCGTTCCAACGCATCGCAAGGTACCCGATGTGGTGGCTGAGCCCTTTGAATTCGTTGCCTAAAATAAGAATTTTTTTATTAGATACAGTGGAAATTTAATGTTAATAGTTAATCGTCTAAATATATTAATTTCTTATACATTCAACCTGACATTCAATCAGTTAAAAAAAGGCCTCCCACATTTATGAACCATATACCATTGACAATTAATTCAGCAACAAAATGGTTTACTATTCTTGTAATGTTTAATAAATTTATTTGGATATTTCATTGTTAAAAAGTACAAAAATAACTTAATTCAATTTACTTAAACATTATAAAACCGAAGACATCAAACACACACATACACCGCGCTTATGATTTGAATTTATCAATTGTTCATTCAATTGATCTAAATTATAATTGTGTATGTATGTGTTTGTGTGTGTGTGTATGGTAAATTCATTTTCCATATCGTTCTTTTCCGGTGAGTTTTAATTTGACCAAATATTTTAGTCTAGGGGCTTCCATCAGTCGTTCATACAAATTTATACACAATATTCACGTCCTATTCATCATATATACGATTAAAATTTCTTGCCTATACCAGTGCATAAGGTGGTTTTTAAACTGCACTGTAGCAAACACACAGAATTGCTACACAGAATCGAAGAAGATTCGCACAAAAGAGAATGAAAAAACATGCCATAGACGAAATATACACGAAATATACACCAAATATATGCAGTTATGCACATTTATTTGTACGTATTACAGATGATTTTGCAATATAGTTCACTATTTGCATTATAAATTGTATATGTTTGAAGATAAAAGCCCCTAGATTTTAGTTTTACTCGAGTCTCGTCGAACACAACAAATTCGTTAAAAACAAGGTCTGTTTTTACATCAATCCGTTCAACAATTCTGGTGTTTGGAATTTTTAGACCATTGGGTCGTGTTTTGAATGAACCAGGATGCCATTTGCCAATCGCTTGAACTGATTCGAATGATTTGGTGTTCAGTGATGCTGGATCATAAGAATATCGAGTTTCGGTTCGGCCGGCAGCAACTTCACACAACAACACCAATCCGATACCGTTGATAGGATGACAATATCTGGCCGCTTTTGTTACTGTGTCCGTAAAATAAATACCTTTACCCAATGCTGAACCGGATATGTATACATCGTTCACCTCTACCTTTAGGACGTTTGTCAAAATACTAACGAAATTTTGCATGCCCGAGCCAATTGACGATTGAAATTGTCTTCGTGTTGCAGGTAGCGTATAGTTTCTTCATGTCGTTCTATTTCAAATATATCGATCATTTCACATGGACCTGGATCGTAATGGGCCGTTGGATCATCCTGTTTTTGTGTATTCAAAATGTAGTCGCTTATTTGTTGGTACATCGGTGATGACTTGCGGAGTATTTTTATTTCAACCGACTCTTTTAAATGCTCATAGCAAACATCGAGAAGGTTTTTTCGATTGTATGTTCGATCTGTCATTGTTTCATACTGTTCATATCTGGCTAATACTTTATGTAGTAAATCGATTTTTTCCTGGACCGAGTATCACTTGCGTTGTATATTGACAATGTATTTGAACGCGACTCGATTTAAGTAGCGCCATCTCTTTCACGCCAGGTTCTAATATATTTTTTTCTTGCAAATAAAATTGCAAAATTGTATAAATTGAATAAGTTTTGCAATAATAATAGCGAAAATAATTAATAGAATTTATAATAAATAAAAAAAATTGAAAAAAACACACAAATATTTTATATTATATGATAAGTAGCTTTGCCTTGTAGACTTTGCCTTGTAAACCATGTAGAGATGGTTACGTGGAGAAAATATGTATTTGTCAAACATTGATATCTGTCAAAAGAAATAACGTAAACAACACGAAGTGAAGCTATTCTGGTGAATCATATAATATAAAATATTTGTGTGTTTTTTCAATTTTTTTTATTTATTATAAATTCTATTAATTATTTTCGTTATTATTATTGCAAAACTTATTCAATTTATACAATTTTGCAAGAAAAAAATATTTGCGAGAAAAAAATATATGACAACCTGGCGTGAAAGAGATGGCGCTTCTTATATCGAGTCGCGTTGAAAGCCGACTGTAAGTGATACTCGTCCTGGACTATTTCAAGTGTGTTGATTAATGGTGGTGGGCGTTGTCCGAATGCTTGAGGAAAATATGAATAAAATTGATTTGAAAGTGCCACAATTAAACGTGAATTGCCGACATCCAACATCGATGGGATTTGGTCCAATAAATGAATGGCACATCGAATGGTTCGATTCTTTATTCCACCCAGAGGCATGTCGTCATAAACCATACAATAATCGAGCAATGTTTTTTCCAATACATCACCGTGAAACAACATTATCATCAAATTGTGTAGAGCGCTATCCAATTTGCTGTTCACATAATTGACTTCAATTGAACGGGTGTAGTTCAATATATCCACTCGATTGTATTTTCCGGGTTGTTTATCAAAACCATATTTTATAAATTCATTGCCAGTCAAATGTGCGTAGATATTTTTGAATGCTGCCTTACCCTCTTCTACGCTTGAGTGGCGCGTCTGCTTCTTGAAACCTGATGAAATGTCATTTATTCGTCCCTTCGTCTCGATCATACTTTGTCCAATTAATTGTAATTTCAGAAAACACAAACAAGAGGAGGCGACAAATTGATCAAATGATTTAAATCATTTAATTAAATAATTTTTTGCCTCATTTCGTTTGTGTTCGATTCAGTTTTTCCGTTTAAAGAAAATGTTTTTCCCCACTTTTTATCCTTCTAATTTGGCTATCAAGAGTGATCTTTATTATTTATATAATAAATTTGTTATTTTCGAATTAAAATATGTTACAGTATTTCTATTGAATAAATTTCTTTTGTCTTTTCTCTTGGAGCCACCCAGCTAATATTCCCTTGTTTTTCGAGTATCAATATCCCGACAAACATTTTATTTTTATAAAGAAAATTATCTTCTGTATAACTCCTTTATAGTGTTTTTATAATTATTACAAAAGCTGTATCTTTATAATGTATAACAGTTGTTATAACAGACAATTGAAACTCACATTGATCTTCTTTCAAAGCACTAAAAATTTTTTTAACTAATTATAAAGAAAATCTTTAAATGAATTATTATAGAAATTATATACAAAATCTATTGTTTATCTTTGAAGTTGCTTTTGAAAGTCTTTCAAAGAATTTAATAGCCTTTTATAAAATTTAGAATATGAATTCTTTTTATCGCCTATAATAAAACAAAAACAAACAAACATACCTTAGCAGTATAAATGCCAGAGTTTTCGGCATAGGTTGAAATGATGTCAAGTGCAACATATCCCAAATCGTAGGTGGTCTTGTATTTTGAGCCGGCACTCAATGGCTTATTATTGAAGAACCATTCAATTTGCATTGTTGGATCTCTGGCCGGTTCAACGTTACATTCAAAGCGAACATTGTCATTTTCTTTGCATTCGATGTTATTTAAATGAGTGATAAACACCGGCGATTCATAAACTGGTTCTGGAAATTCGGGTCGTCCTGCTTTTGGTTCTTCCAATTGAGCAATGCGTGGCAATGCGTCTGGATGTAAAGAGTCTCCGAGCAACCAATGACGATCACCAACTTTAATAGAAGACGTTGAAACTGCTTCGCCAACTGTGAAAATATAAATAAATATATATTATGTCACTTTCAATTTTCTATATAGATAAAATAGCAAAAAAAAAATTTGTCTCAAAAGTCAAAAGTGATAGTAGTTCCAGATTGTACTTACCCAAATTTGTTGCTTTACAAGTGTAAATTCCTGAATCATCATCGCGCAATGAATTAATTTGCAAAGTGACCAAACCAAAATCAAATGTGCTTCGAATGCGTGAACCAGTTGTAAGCGACACACCATTTTTATACCATTCAATCTTCAAATTTGGATCGGCACGTGGTTCAACTTGAGCTTCCAATCGGATGTTCTGTCCTTCGACCAATTTTTCGAAGCTCTGCAAGTGGGTTGTGAAGACTGGTGCCTGTTGAGGTGTTGCGTCAACAAACATTTCCGGTACACGATTCATTGCAGCTTCTTTCAATTGAATTTGTTGCCATGATTCCGGTGACAACGTATCACCAACAATTGATGATTTTCCTTTTACTTTCATGCTAGTCGATGATACAGCTTCACCGGCCAAATTTATTGCTTTGCACATGTAAATGCCAGCATCTTCAGTCACAACAGAACTAATATCCAGTGAAACGAATCCAAAATCGTGTGATGTACGCAATCTTGATCCCATCTTTAATTCAACACCATTGACATACCATTCGTAGCGCAAATTTGGATCACCGACTGGTACCACGCGTGCTTCAAAGTGAGCATGTTGTCCTTCCCACAATTCAGCTGGACCAGTCAAAAGCTGTGTAAATATTGGCTTTTCGAATACGCGCTCTGGCTCAGGCATTGGTGCTCGTGCTGGTTGCTCAAGTTGTTGCAATTTGGGGATACTCTCTGGGTGTTGTGTATCCATTTGAATGCTTGCATGTGTACGAATTTTCATCGCAGCCGTTGTGACAGCCTCTCCTAGTGCGTTGGTTGCCTAAAATGAGCATTTTTTTATTACACACAATGAAAATTCAATATCTTTTTTTAAAATACATCACTATATAAAAACATTTCTATTAAATTTGATTAAAGACGCATTTTATATCAAAAATAAGCTTAAAATTAAAATAATTTTTTTCGAAAAAATATAATCCATTTTTAAAAAATTATAAACAAACGCGTACATCTTTGCAAAATTTACACATTATAGAAATTTTATAGATTTTGTATATCTTTAAATTTTCTTTTCAAAGTCTTCCAAAGAATTTAATAGGCTTTTATAAAATTAAGAATACGAATTCTTTTTATCGCCCATATAAAAACAAAAACAAAAGAAAAAAAACATACCCGACACATGTATACACCTTGGTCTTCGGCACGAATATGGGTAATGTCCATGGAAACAAAACCAAAGTCATGTTGTTTTGTAATACGTGAACTGTCTTCGATAATTTTTTCGTTACGATACCATTCAACCTTCAATGTTGGATCACCCACTGGAATCAAACGGCATTCAAAGTGTGCAGTTTGACCTTCGGGAATGGAATCGATATTTTGCAATGGTTGAGTGAATACAGGACGTTGTCTTGTGACTGGTTCTGGCACTTCTGGTCGAGTGTGCGGTGTTCCCAATTCCAATTGACGAATCTTTTCAAGACCTTCAGGTCGTACTGACTCAGTGATGATGCCACCCTTTGCAATGACATTCAATCGAATTGTTGAACGACTCTCACCAAGTGCGTTAAATGCCTAAAATGAGCATTTTTTTATTACACACAATGAAAATTCAATATTTTTTTTTTAAATATTACACCATATAAAAACATTTCCATTAAATTTGATTAAAGACGCATTTTATATCCATTTCACAAAATTTAATTGTGATTGGGCGGCGCATGTATTTCAATTCAATATCGACGCGATTGTATTTTCCTGGTTGCTTATCAAATAAATGAAATTGCCCAAATTTATTGTCAGTCAAAATGTGTGTATATATTTTTAAATGTTGCTTTGGCGTCGTGATAAACCACCACCAAAATACGAATGCGATGAATGCAGCAATATGTATGATAAAAAGCAAAGTTTAAATGCACACATACGGTGGATACACATCACAGGAAGGGTCAAATGCCAATTGTGCGATAAAACATTTACTACAACGAGAAGTCTGAATAGGCATGTTGAGCGGCATCACAACGGCAAACGATTCAAATGTGATAATTGTGAAAAAACTTATCAATATAAGCGAGATTTGAAGATACACAAACAAGAGGAGGCGACAAATTGATCAAATTATTTAAATCATTTAATTAATTAATTTTTTGCCTCATTTCGTTTGTATCCGATTCAGTTTTTCCGTTTGAGAAAATGTTTTGTCCCACTTTTTATCCTTCGAATTTGGCTGTTAAGAGTGATCTTTTTTTCATATAATAAATTTGCTATTTTCGAAATAAAATATGTTACGGTATTTCTATTGAATGCATTTCTTTTGTCTTTTCTCTTGGAGCCACCCAGCTAATATTCCCTTGTTTTTCGAGTATCAATATTCAAAAAATGAATAAATTTCTTTTGTTTTTGCTTTTGTTTTTGTGACGACTATTTGTGAGATAAGACGCGCAAAAAATGTGAAAAGCAAAAACAAAAGAAATGCAAAAAGAAAAGAAAAACAAACCTTGCATGTGTATTCACCAGCATCTTCAGCTACGGCCTTTTGGATGTCCAACGAAATATAACCAAAATCGAAGGTAGTATGGAACCGTGAAGCGGATTGCAATAGTTTTCCATTGTGATAGAATTCAATGCGTAAATTGGAATCGTGGATTGGTTCGACCTGAGCTTCGAAATGGGCTGTTTGACCTTCGAAAATTTCAGTTGTACCGTGAAGATTGGTGGTGAATCTTGGCGGTGTAATTGGAATTTCAGCAATTTCATTGCGAGTTTGTGCTCCGCGTGATTCAAGTTTCTGAATCTTTTCCAAACCATCTGGATGTTGTGTATCCAAAATAATGCTCTTTCTATTGATACAACGAATATTACATGTATTCATTGCCTCGCCAAGTGCATTGATTGCCTAAAATGAGCATTTTTTTATTACACACAATGAAAATTCAATATTTTTTTTTTAAATACATCAGCATATAAAAACATTTCCATTAAATTTGATTAAATACGCATTTTATATCAAAAATAAGCTTAAAATTAAAATAATTTTTTTCGGAAAAATATAATCCATTCTTGAAAAATTATAAACAAACGCGTATATCTTTGCAAAATTTACACATTATAGAAATTTTATAGATTTTGTATATCTTTAAAGTTCCTTTTTAAAGTCTTCCAAAGAATTTAATAGGCTTTTATAAAATTAAGATACGAATTCTTTTTATCGCCTATATAAAAACAAAAAACAAACCTGAATCATGTATGTACCGGAATCTTCACCATAAACATACAAAATGTCAAGTGCAACATAGCCAAAGTCATGTGTTGTTCGGTAACGATGACCGGCTGTAAGACGTTTTCCATTTCGATACCATTCAATCTTCAAATTGGGATCGTTGATGGGCTCAACACGACATTCCAAATGGGCGTGATCGCCTTCCTTAAGATTTTCCAAACTTGTCAATGGAGTCAAGAACACTGGCTTCTGACCAACTTCCTCAACTTCTGGTGTCTTTGGCTTTTGGTAGCTTTCCAATTGACGAATCTTTTGTAATCGCTGTTCGTCCAATGTTTCCAAGAACAAACCGGCATTGGCTGTACAAGAAAAAAAAGAAAAAGAAATGAGCACATATTATTTATCATTTTATCTTCAATTTATTTTCAAAACATACCAGCTGCCGAAACAGAACATGTAGTTACAGCCTCTCCAACTGCGTTCTTTGCCTAAAATGAGCATTTTTTTATTACACACAATGAAAATTCAATATTTTTTTTTTAAATACATAACCATATAAAAACATTCCCATTAAATTTGATTAAAGACGCATTTTATATCAAAAATAAACTTAAAATTAAAATAATTTTTTTCGAAAAAATGGATGTATAGTCGAATGTCCGCACATGTGAAAGTCGAAACTTGGGACTAGGTTTAAATAATTGTACCAAAAATGTACTTAATTGTACCGCAATTTATTTTTAATTGTACCTTACTCATTTGGATAATATTTGAGGTTCAAATTTCGGGGCACTTCAATTTGCCGGTCAACTAGCCAAAATAAAACTCAAAGATATTTTTTAAATTTTTATGGCTGATAATAATTGTACCTAAAATGTACCTTACTTCCTGAAAGTTTCAAGACGATCGGACAATTATTTAAACCTAGTCCCAAGTTTCGACTTTCACATGTGCGGAGATTCGACTATACATCCGAAAAAATATAATCCATTCTTAAAAAATTATAAACAAACCCCACGTCAGTATAATACTCTTTTCGAAGAGTGTACACGCTCTTCTCACACCCTTCGTATAGTTTTATTCGACTCCCTTCTCACACTCTTCTCACACTTTTGCATAAAACACGAATATTGCATTTCCACTGATGGATAGTTTTGATTTTGTTTATTTTTGACACAGCTGACAAATGCTATAAACTTCAAAAACGTTCAAATATCAAAATACAAACATTACTTCCACTGGAATGCAGTGAAAGCAGTGATAGCATTACCAATACCATTACACACTCTCTTCTCACTCAATATTCGTCGAATAAAACTATACGAAGAGTGTGAGAATTGCGTGTACACTCTTCGAAAAGAGTATTATACTGACTTGGGACGCGTACATTTTTGCAAAATTTACTCATTATTGAAATTATATAGATTTTGTATATCTTTAAAGTTCCTTTTTAAAGTCTTCCAAAGAATTTAATAAGCTTTTATAAAATTAAGAATACGAATTCTTTTTATCGCCTATATAAAAACAAAAACAAAAGAAAAACAAACAAAATGGGGCGAAAAATTGATCAAATGATTTAAATCATTTAATTAATTAATTTTTGGCCTCATTTTGTTTGTGTCCGATTCAGTTTATCCGTTTAAAGAAAATGTTTTAAGAGTGATATTTATTATTTATATAATAAATTTGTTATTTTCGAAATAAAATATGTTACGGTATTACTATTGATTAAATTTCTTTTGTCTTTTCTCTTGGAGCCGACCAGCTAATATTCCCTTGTTTTTCGAGTATCAATATCCCGACAAACATTTTATTTTATATAATAGCTATATAGACAATTGATAAAAATAGAGGCGAGGCTTGTTTATTTCCTTTCTAGCTTCTTTTAAAGAACTAAAAATGCTTACCCTAAGCATATAAGTACCAGTGTCTTCTGAATGCGCATATAGAATGTCAAGTGCAACAAAGCCAAAATCGTAAGTTGTTTTAAATCGATGACCTTGTTGAACCGGTTTTCCATTGCAGTACCACTCAACAACCATTGTTGGATCATTGACTGGCGTCAAAGTGGCTTCCAGATGTACTGGTTTTCCTTCTTGAACGGCCGCATTTCGCAATGGTCTACCGAATTCCGGCTTCTCCAAAATAATTGGTTCGTCATCAGTTTTGCGCTTGAAGCGAGCATCACCTTCCAAATAGTTAATCTTTTCTAAAGCGCTATCATTTTGAGTTTCATATACAATGCTTGCACGTGGTTGTACGCCCAATTTAACAGCCGATTGAGCTTGACCATTGAGATTGGTAACCTGTCAAAAAGAAAAAAAAACATTCAATTTATTTTAAGAGAGAATCCAATTATTAACCGAATTTTAGAATGTCCAAATCCCATATACATTGAATTGATAGCGAATCGAATGGATCGAATGGCCATCAGACTTTGTTGGCATTCAATTAATTCATTCGTTAAGCTACCAATACAATCCATATGGCACTTCACTTAAAACTATTTTAAAAAAAGTTTTAGTTTTGTATTTGAATTAGTCATAATATGAAAATGAAAAAATTTAAAATTTAAAATCATTTATAATGAAATGTTCTTATTTCCGGTTGGTTGTTTGTTATACGGTTTTATAATTTATTTTGTCTTTTCTCTTGGAGCCACCCAGCTAATATTCCCTTGTTTTTCGAGTATCAATATTCAAAAAATGAATAAATTTCTTTTGTTTTTGGCTTTTGTTTTTGTGACGACTATTTGTAAGATACGACGCGCGAAAAATGTGAAAAGCAAAAACAAAAGAAAAACAAACCTTGCATGTGTATTCACCACTATCTTCAGCATACACCGTCAAAATGTCAAGTGCAGCGAATCCAAAGTCGTACGTTGTACGGAATCGATGGCCCGACTGTAATGGTTGTCCATTGTGGAACCATTCAACTTTTAGATTTGAATCGGGATACGGTTCAATGCGACACTCATAGTGTGCACTTTGACCTTCATGCAAATTGGTTGGACCGCTCAATTGAGTAATGAATCGTGGTGCTTGACGCACAATAGTATCATCCTCCTCACGACGGTGATGACGTGAAGTATCTTCTAATTGATGGATCTTCTGAAGAGCCGATTCATTTTGCGTTTCCATTTGAAGTGCAGCTTTGGCTGTAAAGAGAGAAAAAAATGTGTTTATTTGCTTGGTCAATAGTTTTATGTTTCATCGATTTATATCTTACATTGGACAATAAGCGATGCTGATGTTACAGCCTGCCCCAATTCATTGATTGCTTTGATTGTATAAGTTCCTGAATCTTCTGGATTTACATATTTCATATTTAAAGCAACATATCCAAAGTCGTGCATGGTTGTCAATCGGTTAGCTGTTTTAAGATATTGATTGAAATGTCAGAATGTTTTTTTTTATCTCAAAGAATAGAATGACAATGTACTTACATGCTTCTAGTGGCACACCATTCCTCAACCATTCGACTTTGAGTTTTGGATCTCCAACTGGGATTAGACGTGCCTCGAAATGAACGGCCTGGTTCTCGGCAACGCGAATGTCACGTACAGGCATGGTGAATACAGGTGCCTGAGTAATGATTTCGTCTTGAACGCTTCTTGTTTGATGTCTAGATGTATCTTCCAAATGATTGATGCTGCGTAGTGCTCCTTCGTGTTGCGATTCAGTGTAAATGGCTCTTCTTGTATGAATCGACGCAATAGCCGATGTAACGGCTTCACCAAGTGCATTGATTGAACGACAGGTATAAGTACCTGAATCTTCTGGCAAGCATGAAAGAATATCCAATGCAACAAAGCCAAAATTGTTGGTTTCAGTGAAACGTGATCCCGATTTCAATGGCTTATTATTGTGATACCATTCAACTTTCATTGTTGGATCGGAAACAGGAATTAAACGGCATTCGAAGTGAGCACGTTGACCTTCTTTAATGTCAACATTTTTCAATGATGTTGTGAAGACAGGTGTTTGTTTTGTCACCTCATCGCTCACTTCGGTGCGTGTGTATTTCGAACGATCCTCCAAATATTGGATTTGCTCTAATCCGGCTTCGTTTTGAGTTGTTGTCAAAATTTGTTGACTGCTACGGCAATCCAAAGTACATGTTGTTTCATCGACACCAACTAGATTTGTGGCCTATGGTTATATTCAATTTAAAATGGTTATTCCTTTTTTTTTAAATTGATTCGATTCAAATCCAAAGAATAAATAACTCTTTTTTTGTAAAGCAGAAACATTTTTTTTCAATTAATTAATTTAAAAAAATGTAAGTTGTGATCTGTAAGAAATGGGTATGCCACCCATCATTTATGAGGTATGTGTCCACGAGGCATTAAAATCGATCCTCGACCCGATCGATCGCATTCAAATGTTGAATGAGGTTGGCGAGTGGTACCAACGAAAGCGATCAATGTTTTGAAGTCACTCGATGATGAAGTACAACTTGTTAGAGTCCATGAAAGAAGATAATTTCTTCCGAAAAGATGTATGGAATGATTGCAAACGCTTATTACCTGCTGGCACAAAAGTGTACTGCATCATTTGCGGAAAAGAATTAGCAGCAGTTGGGGACCGAATCTGGAAACATTTCCAGCGTAAGATCATCGCAAATGATCAAGCCCATACTGAGGCAATCGAAGGAATTGAATTCAACACGACGAGGAAACGTGGACACAGCAGATGGTTTAATTTTGTGACAATTGAAAAGCCTGTGTCATTTAACGCCGCCGACAAACCACCACCAAAATATGAATGCGATGAATGCGGCAATATGTATGATAAAAAGCAAAGTTTAAATGCACACATACGGCGGAAACACATCAAAGGAAGGATCAAATGCCAATTGTGCGATAAAGCATTTAGTGCAACGCAAAATCTGAATCGGCATGTTAAGCATCATCACAACGGCAAACGATTCAAATGTGATAATTGTGAAAAAACTTATAAAGATAAGCGAGATTTGAACTTACACCATTACAATAAACACAAACAAGAGGAGGCGACAAATTGATCAAATGATTTAAATCATTTAATCAATTATTTTTTTGCCTCATTTCGTTTGTGTCCGATTCAGTTTTTCC